GCCGCCGCTGCCGGTACGGTGTGCTGCGTCGAGTGCCGGCGGGTGCTGGGCTCCCAGGAGGGCCGCCATGAGGGCGCCCCCTGCGGCGTGGGGAGGGGGTTGGCGGTGTGGGTTCAGCGGTCACGCAGTCTGCGGGCTTCATCATAGTCGATGTGCTCCACGTCTCAACATGACGTCATTTCTGTTCCATTTCACGCGCCCCACCAACCAACCCTTCGACCCGTGGTAGCTTTCCCTTCCTGCGCCGCAGACTTGCAGTGCTGCATGCCGCCCCGCGCCCTGCGATTGAGCGCGCAAGTCTGACGCGGCCTTTGGTCACAATTGCAGGTCTGTTTCATCATACAGCGGCCTCACCCGTCACCACGATCCTGGCGCGCCCCTCCCCCACCTCCCCCAGCACAGGCTCCAGGTACCGCCCGCTCGCCGCCGCCAGCGCCCGCCGCAGCGCCGGCCATGCCACGCGGCCGCCGCTCAGGCAGAAGCCCTCCCCTCGTGCAGCCGCAGCCAGCAGACTGAACGGCAGCACCGCCGCCGCTTCAAGCCCCTCCTCTCCCCCGGCCCCGCCCTCAGTCACGGGCTCCAGCGGCGCCGCCGGCGCGCGCAGCGAGCGCACGAGCGGCGTCGAGAGGTCACCCACGCCGGCGGCCACGAGGCGCCGCCGCAGCTCCAGCAGCAGCGCTGAGTCAGCGGCGGTGGGGGAGGCGGCGCGGAGGCCTCGCAGGAAGGCGGCGCGGTCGGGGTCGCAGGCCCACGCGGCGGCGGTGTCCAGGACGCACTGCGGGGGTGGGGCGGCCCGAGGCGGTGGCGGCGGCCGTGATAGCGTGCCGTGCTGTGGCTGTTCAAGTTTGCCTGCAAAGGTGGACCTTTCGCTTCCGCGTCCCTAGCAGCAGGCAGGTTGTGTGACTCACATCGTTCTCACCAGACACCCCTCAAAGACAGTCCCCCCCACACGCACTCACCTGGGCAAACGTGCACTGCACGTAGTCAGCGACGCCCCTCAGCAGCCCGTACTGCGCCGGGTCACGCTCCAACAGCGCCAGCAGCTTCCCCACCGCCCTGACTAACGCGGCGTCCGCCACCCGGGGGCTCCCCCCCTCAGCCAGGTCGAGCAGCGGCCTCACGTGGCCCTCAAACGCAGCCGCCTGGTCGGGCGGCAGCTGGAGGGGCACGTGCGGTTCATCTGGGAAGTCTGAGGCAAATCTGTCAGGGAGGAGGGAGAGTTGAAATCGTTGGGTACCGGGTGTGGGGTGAGAGGGGGTGAGTGAGGTGCAAAGCATATCGTTGAGGAGATGCGATGGGGGGGGAGCACAGTGTGCACGGGTCACGGAGGGGTGCTGCGCTGCGGCGGGGCGGTTGGGGATTGCAATGAGCTGGAGTCCTCCACGATCCGGGGTGGTGGGTCGAGGGCGTATAGCGTGCGAAGCCGACTGCAGCGGGGCCGCGCTCGACTCCAGCAGCAGCCCTGCAGTGTGGGTGGCATCGGCCCCCCGCTCAGCGGCCGCCCCTCACTTGCGCGCCAGGCTGCTTGTGCGCAGGTAACGGGCCGCCTCCATCACTCCCAATGCCGCTGCCGCACCCTTGACCGCAGCTAATCTGTGGGGCTGCCGCTGCACTGGGTGGTGCGGTGACGGGGCGGCCAATGCAGGTGCCGCGCGTCAACTGCCGGCGGGGTGGCTTGGGCAGAGCTAGCCCGCCAGGCAGATGCGGTCGGAACCGAAGTAGCAACTACAGTGCGGACAGAGCGAAGTAGCCACGCGCAGTGGATGGATCGGCGTTCGGAGTGGCGTTCCGGATGATCAGGGAGGAATACAAGCTGCCTAGGCCCACATGCCAATCATCAATCAACCCAGGTAGCAAGCATGTGATGCATGCACGGGCTCTTGAGTTTGGCGCGGGCGTCACCTCGTCACCGGGAGGCCGTCGCTCCGCTGCATGCCGTTGGAGATCCACCGGTGGTGAAGCATCAAGTACTTGTGAGCATGCCCTCCAGGCCAGACCGCTAGCATCAGTCATTATGTACACAACGCAACCCTCATGCTCGAGGCTTTTATTGTCCTGGCAGCGGATGCGTCTCCGGGGACGCTCGACGCGCCGGCGTTGCAGCGCGGCACAGCCGAGATAACCTGGACAACTTTCGGCCAGTAGGCTCGCTTTGCAGGGGGTCGGCTGTAAACTGGCAATAGCGCACCTATGTATGCAGGGCGGCCTTTCACATGGGCGGGTGCTCAGCTCTCGTCAGTCCCCGTTGAGGTCAGCCTCCCATCTCACAACCCATGCTCGCCAAAGGACCAAGCCGTTACAAATAATTGCGCGCGTCTGGTTGCAGACTTGAGACAGCGTGTACGTCATTAAAGGATTGTTGATATGCACGCTGGATTTGTTAAGGGCTGTCGATTTGTTGAATCCATATTTAGGTGAGGAAGGGCCGCCAGGTCATAAAAGCACGGCACGCGCACATTCGTTCACAAACCGCGCGCGAGGTTCCCCTCGCCCTCCGCCCCGTTCGCCACAGGAAGGTGACCTGCACACAGAGCACATACAGCGCAGGTGGTACCCACGCCTAACCTTGGCCCCCGATATCTGGCTGTTTATGCATTATTCACTCGCTCTCTCGACCCGCAGCCTGGGGCCTGCAGCATGGAAACCCCAGGAAGCCGTAGGCCGCGCGGCTCAGCCCCTCCATCGCTGCTGCCGCCGCATTGTGCAGCCGCCGCAGGTCCGCGGCCGTGTCCCTCAGCTGCTGCAGCATCAGCGTGGCCTGCAGGCGCGTGCTGGCGCTGGTCAGGGTCGGCTTGTCGCCTCGACCGCCGGCCGCGGTGTCGGCGCTGCCGCTGCCGTTGCCGCTGTCATTGGCCAGGCTCAGCAGCGTCGCGTTGAGCTCTGCCACCTGTGGTTTGGGGTATCAGGGGTTAGAGAGACGATATTGGTAGAGTGGACTACGGGGCCACGTGATGAGAAGTTGAAATTTGCCTGCACCCACCCCCCTCTCCTCTCTTTAGAGAGCCAAGCCACCCCAGATCAGTCTGTGGGCTGGGGAGATGGGACGGTCGACTGCCCGGTGTTGCCTGACTATTGGTGAAGCGAGAGACCCCTGCCAACCGGGGTCTTGCAGGATTGAGATATGTTCCCATGCACCTGGCCCTCCAGGGTGGCGATGTGATTGCTGCTGAGGCAGCGGGGTGGGGGGTAGTAATCCATCGGGAACGCGTCAACCACCTCCTGGGGTTGGTGGCCGCGGTGGGTGGTGGGCGCGGGGCGTGTGCGCGGGTAAGAAACGCACAGGGCGGTGCCAGAGGGCGGGTGCAAGTCGACAACATCGGAATGCAATGGATGCTGGGACTGACACAACGGATGCGCTCACACACCCGGGCCCCCCCCATCAAGGGCGAAGGTCTGCCACTCCAGCCATGATAGGGTGTGCGACAGAAGAGTGTTCAGCAGAGGTGTACATCTCGCCCCACCCCAGCCTCGACCTCAACGCTTGTATTGCCCCCCACCTGCAATGCCCCCAGCAGGTGGCGCTTGAGGGTCTCCCAGCTCGCGCCGCCTGAGCTCTCCACCAGGCGCAGCACGACGCGCGACTCCGCGTCTGTATGCTGCAGGCCCGCCTGGAGCTGCGGGGGTTGAGGGCATGGTGGTGCAAGGCGGGCCGTCAAATAGTGGGGTGGGCAGATCTGCAAGGATGCGAAAGCCTCCACTTGACGGACGCCAACAAAGATGTGTCCAAGGGTGTGTTTGCGGCAAACAGGTGCCCTCTTTGAACTCGTCTCGTCAGGCTGCAGTTCCACTCGTGCGTGCGTCCGCGCGTCCTCTCCCCCCCCCTGTGCCGGCACCTTGTAGAGCCCCAGCGCTGTCGCGGACGCCTCGGTCCTTAACTTCGCCAGCTCAGCGGGGTCTGGGCGGCAGCCTTTGCTGGGCAGCAGGGGGAACCAGGGAATGACGAGACTGCAAGGGACCGGTGTGTTGGCGGTGAAGGCAGGGGTTAAGGTTGGAGTTGGGGTAGTGGTGGGCAAGGAAGTGCCATTGAGTGCAACAGTGTGTGTGTGTGTGTGTGTGTGTGTGTGTGTGTGTGTGTGTGAGTGTACATGTGAGTGTGTTGCGAGGGGGGGGGGGGTGCAGGCAAGCAGTTGGGATGAAATCCCAGCACACGTAGCATTAAAGTGTAGCTACGGAGGTGTGCACCAGCCTGCAGGCCGCAGCGCCGCCTGTCAGGGCCCCATCCCCCCGGGCGCTGCCGACCAGCCTCCCCGCCCGCCGGCGGGATGGTGTTCCCCTCCACACGGCAGCGAACCCACGGAGAGCCAGCCCCGCCTCAGCTCATACCCCGCACCGCGTGTTGGCGCCGCAGAACCCCAGCACCAGCTCCGCGCGCGCCCCCACCCCCGCCCTGGCGCCCGCCGTCATCGCCACCAGCATGCGCTGGTACGACCGCTCCGCTTTCTGCAGCGGCGTCAGCACCACGCGCGCGCCCTGGCGCCGCCACCCCAGCGGGCCCCCAGCCAGGCTCGCGTACGCGCCCTGCGCACTGGGGGCCGCCAGGTCATCGTTGGTGTCACCCTCTGAGGGGCTGGCGTCGATGATGACGTGCGGCTTGGGGGGGTCGTCGGGCGCGGCGGCTGAGGGCCGCTGGTCCGACAGCACCAGGAGCGCCCGGCGCGCGCTGCCGCCCGACGCGTAGCGGCTCGCCTCGCTGGCCATGCCGCGTTGCATCAGGCGCGGCGGCTGCGGGCAGTTTTAGGCATTTTGTGGCGTTTGAGGGTGCGCATCGCATGTTGGGGTGGGGAGGGAGAAGGGTGGGGAGGGAGGAGGGTGGGGAGGGTGGCGCCCAGGGCGTGGCGTCCGTGACGCAGCGGCTCGCTCATGATGCGATAAAGGGACGCGGCGAGGAGCGCTGACAAACATGGTGTTTCGCAACCTCAGGTGCCTTCAGTGACTCCACTGAACAATCCAAACACCCACCCCCCC